ACAATAAAACAAATAAATGATCTTTAAAATAAAACTGTTTGTCTGACTACAGTCAAAGCTTAAAGTTCTGGTTAAAACTCTCGATTAGTTCCTCTTTCTAAGTGAATGGGAAGAGTACTGAGCGACTTATTTCTCAGTACTAATGGACTCTATGAAAACCTATGTAAAGCATCTCAAATGGAGTTTCCTAAAAAGAAAGAGCGTCTTTCGCCCCTTGTTAGCCTCCTTGGTACCCAGGTTGGCCAGGAATGCCCTCACGACAGGCGGCCAAAGTGGCTGAATTTTGGCGGCACCAATTTTGCGTAACTTTCCGCGCCTTACAGTGAGCGTGCATTGCCGTTGGCCGTTAGCTCAGCTGCTTCACTACGCCAAGTCACCCGCCACAGAAGACAAGACAACAACACACCATAATTCTAATTTTACATCAGCACAACTGCTATGCGACGTGTTTCGTAAGACGATGTTACATATGTAGTGATGACTGTTGAGAATGTCCTAAGCTGTCCTGGTATCTGGTCGACCAGCTACTGACGCTGCTCTTCAGGTCGGACTGTTGTTCTAGGCCATGGATATGACAAGCGAAGAGAGCAGCATCAGCAGCAGTAGCAGCTTCTTTCCAGCTAGCTTTGTACTGTACTTTTTTATCGGTCTTCTGATATCACTCGTCTTCGCCTCACTCGGCATATCTGTGGGCATTCGCACACTCTACATCAATCTTCTACTGTACATTTTCGACGTAAGTGCTGCCCGCCTCCATGGTCGGCTTCAACCCCTGTCGCTGTTTGCCCGCGAACTAACCCATTCAAACAAATCTTTCCTCCACCACCAAGTTTGGCAAGCAACGTATTGAACTTTCCGAGTTGAAAAATAAGCAAACCACTCAACATGACGCCGACAGCGAAGACGAACTTGACAATGGTGCTGAACTGTCTTTTGAGTACCATTGCAAGATAACAGAGTATGATAATTCACTAGATTCGCTGCGTGACTACGAGAAGAAAGACTTTCACCTCTCCGACATATGTGACTTTATCAAGGTGGGCGTGCAAGCCATCGTCGACGATGAGGTCACCAAAAGATTTGATGCTGAAGGTAAGTGGCTGTGCTGATTGGAGTATACAGAAAATGGGTACATTTGTTTATTTCTCTCCACTCTAGAGCTACCTTCCTGGAACTTGCTTACACGAACAAACAAAAAGTACACACACCTTTCACTCCGCCTCACCATTCTGTGGGGCATCGGATGTGTGATACGATACTTTATTTTATTTCCCACCCGCATCATCGTTACCATTATTTCCGTCTCATGGCTCATCATTTGCACTGCGGTCATCGGCTGCTTGCCCGATGGCGTCTTCAAGAGGACAATCTACTGGCACTCCAGTTTAGTTTGCTTCCGAGTCATGGCCAGGGCTTTCTCAGGCATAGTCACATTTCATGATCGCCATAATATGGCCAAACCAGGCGGCATTACTGTTGCCAATCACACTAGTCCAATAGTAAGTGGTTCTTTCTCCAACCAGAGATAAGTTTTCTCACATTATCCCTCTCTCCCTTAGGATGTCTCCATTTTAGCTTGCGACAACTGCTATGCTCTTGTCGGCCAGAGGCAAGGTGGATTCTTAGGCGTGCTGCAAAGTGCCCTTCAACGAGCGTCAAATCACATTTGGGCAAGTCATACTGCATTTTAACCTTAATCTGTTTCTTTCTAACCATATTATCCACAGTTTGAACGATTTGAAATTAAAGATCGTCAGTTAGTGACGCAGCGTTTGAAAGAGCATGTGAATCACATGAACAATCTTCCCATTCTCATCTTTCCCGAGGGAACTTGTATAAACAATTCTGCTGTGATGATGTTTAAAAAAGGTTCATTTGAAGTGAACGGAACTGTCTATCCAGTTGCCATTAAAGTAAGTCTCTATTTTTAATTGCCTCATCTTTGCTTATCGTTCTCTCCAACTAGTATGACCAACGATTTGGCGACCCATTCTGGAACAGTAGTAAACACGGTTACATGTACTACTTGATGTTAATGATGACAAGCTGGGCGATTGTTTGTGATGTCTGGTACTTGCCACCGATGACAAAAATGGTAAAATTAAAGTTGTTATCAAAGTGGAAAAATGTTAACTAATCCTTTTCACTTTGCTTGATAGGACGGTGAAAGTGCAATTGATTTTGCAAATCGAGTCAAGTCGGTCATTGCCAAGAAAGGCGGCTTAGTCGACCTGCAATGGGACGGCCAACTGAAGCGCATCAACGTCAAGGATGAATGGAAGGAGAAAAAGCAGGAAGAGTTTAGCAAGAAGATCAAATTTTCCTGAAGCCAAGACAAGAATGGAATAATATCAAAGTGTTGTCGTATTTATTTATTTATTTATTTTACAACAAATGTGTTACACTGAATGTGATTGCCACAAACAGACACAGAAACATTCCCTGACAAGTGTCCCTGCACACTTGAGTACAAAACGTTATTGCGGCTAGAAAAAGCAAGTTTTAGCCCGTCTTTAAAAAATATATATAAATTACTCGCTAAAATGTGTGGATATGTTTCAGATGTTCGACTCTTTCTCAAGGACTATTTGAAATGACGAGTTTTGTGGGTGTGTGGTGAGGTGTGTGAAGTATCAAGTTGGGGCTGTTGGCGACTGTGATCATCCTCAAGGGCTCTCCTCACCTCATTGACTGGTGCGTGACTAGCGGTGAGGAGCGATGAGTGCGATTGGTGGTGGTGGTGGTGGTGGTGGTGGCCAGGTGTGATCAGCAGATGGCCAAGTCTGCAGTGTGGTTGGGCGGAGGGTGTCGGTGGCGTGGTTGCTGGTTGGCCTCTTGTCGTGCTTCCAGTCCTGCTTCAGTCGAGTCAATTCATTATTTGCTTGAATATCCTGTTTATTTTTCCCTTCAGACCTTTGCAGCCTTCCTCAGGCAGGGGCTCGCTCTCCACGGCGGCGAACGTGGGCAGGACCTTCTCCGGCGAGCTGGGCTCAATCATCGCCTGCTTGTCGCTCTCCTCCTCGGGGGCGCCCTTGTGGGTCAGGTCAATGTTGAGCCTCTTTCGGGCGGCGGTTCGCTTCTTCAGTGGCTTCTCGCTGTTCGACTTTTTGACGATTCCCTTGACCTTCTTGTTCACGGTGTGCTCGTGGATGGCCTTCTTCAGGCCGCAGATGACACGAACCACCGCCTTGGCGATCTCACTCGCCGTCGCATCCGTCTTCGAGAGCACCGACCAGTCACTCTCGCTGACACCGTTCGGACAGGTAAAGATCTTCGAGGGCACGCCCAGCTCGCCCGCTGCGGCGCCTCCTGTGGAGCACACCGGTACGACAAAGTGGTCGTTCCAGATGAACTCCTCGATCTCGTGCACAGTGTCTAGGGAGAATGAATACAAAAGTGAGTTAGTAGAAAGCAAAGCACATTTGTAACTGATGTTCAGTGAATAGACCTACCTTTGTCGCCCTCAATGAGAATGCACGTGTCCATGAGACGCGCAATGACCGAGTCACGTTCCTTGATTGTTTCCCCAAAGAAGTACGTCTGTCCGTAGGTGACCTTTTCAAAGTTGCCGTCCTTCTCCTGGCGGCACTTTTTACTGTAGTCCTTGCTGTCCTTGAGGGGAACAATGTGAATGACCGAGTCATTCGATTCCTTCTGCAGCATTTTCCTCTGCTCGACAAAGGTGAGCGCAACAATGTCGCTGGTGCCGTAGAAGCCATTGGTGACGATGTTGATGTTCTGCACCTGTGCCAGCTCCTTGCCGATTTCATTGCAGATGTCAATAGTGCGCTGGCTCAGTGATTCCGCATTCAGTTTGCCACTGCTACTGCCCAAGACGTACACACACGTTTCCAGATTCGGAAGATTCCTCTTCATGCAGTCAGTCAGGTACTTGATCTTCACTTCATGCGGATCCTCAATGTACTTGCAAGAGGGGTCAAGGACGCGGGTAATCTTGTTCATCAGCTCATTTTTGAAATCTTTGCTTCCGTAAGTCTACAATGAAAAAAAAGTAAAAGATTAGCACAGTTCGGTCAGGAAGAAGAGGTGTGTCAGTTAAATTACCAGGGGAACGTCGTGAGACATGAGCTTGGAGAACCAGACTGGCGCCGGGCTCTTGTCGCACTGTACGAGAATGGTCTTCATTCGCTGGGCACAGTAGTAGACGTGTTGTTCAGAGGTGCGTGACGTGTAATACTGCTCCGAGGCAATGACAATCACCAGCGTACAATTGTGAACCTTATTCTGAAAACTCTTCAGGCGCTCCATCTTGTCCGGACTGATGGAGGAGAGGTAACACCCTTCGCCATTGTACGATACCACACGGGACAAGTCTTTCTTCTCCAGCTTGAACTCGTGATTGTGATTCGGCTCCGACTTGGGCCTCTGTTTGCTGTTCTCTGCAATCTTCCGGGCGTAGTCCTGTATTGCATGCGTCAGTGTGGAGTTCTCCTCGATGATCGGACTAAGGTTCGGGTCGTAGATTGAGTCACGCAAGTTGGCCACTTGTGGCACCTCCTCGTGCACCCTCCGCGTGGGCAGATTGTCGGCGATGTCATTTGAACACCATACGTGGTATGTCGTGGAGAGCAGTTGCTTGATCTCCCTCGTAATGGAATTCTGCTCTGGATGAGCGCTGATCACAATCAACGGTTTGTCGTGCCAGTTGTTGTTCATCTCTGCACCTGCTCCAGCAACACCGCCAACAACAGCAGCGGCGGCGGCAGTGCCCTCGATTGCCGCTTCAGGTAGATCGTTATTTAATGTCGGTGCACTGATTGGTTTGGGCTCTCTTGACAAGTCCTTTTTGGACATTTTGGTGATCTGAGTGCACAGCTGTTCAGTCACTTGCTTGATCGACTCAGGGTCCCATATCTTTTTGTCGAGATCTTTCAGTTCCTTCACATCCTCTGTTGTTGTGAGCAAGGAAGAAATCAGTCAGTCATGGCAATGAAACAAAAGCTTAAGACAAAAACCCGTACCTGTTCCTGAGCGCCACAGAATGTACTGTGTGGTGGCGAATTGAATGGCTAAACATTCTGGTGGCCAAAAGTCTAGAAAGTTGATTGGGATAATGTTTTTCCTCAAGACATCGGCCAATTTGACCTGAAAACAGAAACACGAAAGATGATGTGTAAGTTGGTAATCAATCTGAAAATGAACTTTCTCCATACTTCTCGATTCGTCCATTGCGTCCTACCGTACATCGGCGTAATGAGTGGCACAAAGAAGTTGCAGCTCTGAATGGCATTATTTAGTGAGTCTTGCCAGTCACTGCCCATCTCGATTTCATGCACGTCCTTCAAACAATAGTGAGAGTGGTTAGCAACCAGGTTATTTCATCAACCAGCACCAACGTACCAGGTACACACTAAAACCTCGCTTGATCAGTGACTCTTTTAGTTTAAGCGCATGATCTGCTGCTTCTTGACGAGCATAACTGATCATAATCTGTTTCATTCGCAGAGTGGGCGTCTTCTTTATGGTCTTGCGCCTCAACATGCTGCTGTTGGGGCAACAGTGGTAAATAAAGGTGTGACAGGTGCAGCACTAATCAGCACTACTTACAAGGAGGGCTTTTTTAGCACTTTCGGTTTTGTCGAGTCAATCTGATCTTCCGCCGGATTGCACGTTGCAATTACCAAGTCGTCATTGCTTCCCATTGGAAACATGGGATTCAACTCCAACTGCATTTGCATCGGCGAGTTATCAAACTGAATAAAGACGCACTTGCTTTGCATAATATCGAGAAGGAGAATATTGCTCTCATTGTGTCGATGAATTGAATAATGAAAACTGTGGATAAAGTGAAAGTTGGTGCACAACTTGTAGCCAGTCCCTGCAGTTGGCTCTCGTAATACTTCTTCAATTTTGACTCGTAATGTTTTGAGGTCAGTGTCGTAGGTGGAGAGGACGTATCCAATAAAAATACTCTGTCCATTGGGGTGCTTCCCAATGACTGGACATCGCAGATGAGCTGCAGTTAAAAATATGTTAATTATTAGTTAACAGCAAGTGCGAGTGCTTACAGTGGTCTCGTTTGAAGCGAACATTATTCTGAGCACTGATCAGGTGCTTCAACTCGACGGATATTTCCTGAGCCACTGATATCGGAGACCTGCAGATGGAATTGTTTAGCAAAGCAAGTTGCAGCCAAAATAAAGGATGATGACTTGCCCAAAGTTGGTGAGAAAGACGTAGTTGTTGTCCATGTTGAAAAGCGATTGCTGGACTATCATCTGACGCAGCTGGTGGGCGTACACCGTGCGGTGTGTCTCCGCCAAAATAAGCGTCCCAATGGAGATTTCATCTGAGCACTTGTGTTCGCCGGCATGAGGAAGACACTCCTGAATGTACACTACACCTAAAATATACTTTGATGAGCTAGATCTCGCCAGGTTGTTGTGAGAGCAGTTCATCAATGGTATGTGGTTGATGTTATTGCTGGCGGTACTGCTGCTGCTGCTGCTGTTGCTGCTGGTGGCGGCGATGCTGGCGGTGGCTGTGTTGTTGATGTTGCTTCTACTGGTGTTGTTGTTGTTATTGCTGGAGCTCAGCAAACTATCAGTGGACATTACGAGCAAACTCGAATCATCGGTGTCATTAGCCACTGAGATGATCATCTTTGAGTGCTAGCTGGCTATATGTTGCAGTCAGCGCAGATCCGTCCTTAATGGGCCAGAAGATAGCACCGGAACTAGGCACACCGAGCAATAGCGATTTCTCTCATATGCTCGGTGATATTGTAGCATTGTGTGTTGCGTCCAGCCGATAATCGTCTTGGTTTCGACAGTGATAAGGTCCCATTAAGCCAGTCTACTTAGCAATGTCAACTGCAATGAAACGGCACTTGTTGATGCTGCTCTGTCTGCACTGCAACTGTGTGTTTGTTGCAGCCACGGCTACTGCCAGTGACTGCAACTTTTCATAACTATAGAGCAGTGTGTCTATCTGCTGTGTGTCGCAGAGACTGCTCCCACGTTCTCACTACGTTGGTCACTGCGGTCTTCTCTTGTCGCCTCAGATCACTCAGATTGCCTTTAATATATCAACATTTTTTAATTCAACAGTTGTAGTCAGTGTGTGTGATTGTGTGTGACTGTGTGACTTTGTGATCAGTGCTATTTTTGGAAACTATCATTTATTAACAGAACCNATTGCCTTTAATATATCAACATTTTTTAATTCAACAGTTGTAGTCAGTGTATGTGATTGTGTGTGAGTGTGTGACTTTGTGATCAGTGCTATTTTTTGAAACTATCATTTATTAACAGAACAAAAAAATTGCCTATTCTTTCCAAAGTTGATAATTAATGTCAGCATACTG